TTCAATAACACCTTCAGCTTTGCTAAGCAATCCCGACGACTCAACAAGGTATGGAACGAGGTTGCTACATCAGCGAACTTTCCTGGGAGGGTGGTAGCCAGGAGGGTGGGAGGTTGAAATGCAATCTACCGCTACCCCCGGTCTTGTACTTGAACCACACAAGCTCCCTAGAAGAGCTGAGGACACAAGACCCCTTCAAAGTTGGACCCATTACAAGTGTCAGGGACCCTGCAGTAGAATTTCCTGGTTTCTGAGCCTCATCCTTGTGCAGCTCCTCTGATCTTGTTCCTGCGCATTTGCCGAATAACAAAGGTTTCTTCAGGCACTTCGCGAAGGTTGTGTGGAGGGAGAAAATGTGATGGAGTCGTTTGATGTAACATCTCCTGTATACCAACGTCTCCAAGGAAGCGGCAATGCAGGCAGTCCTGGAGATTTTCACCGAACACCATTCTAGTCTGAATCCTGTACGACCTTTGCATTACTACTCCATTTCCACTTTCCAAGTTATGATGTTGCTGGATGAATGTCTCAAATGCAACATTTTCAGATGGTCAGGAGAGTATTACAAACAGGTCAGGGGGCTAGCAATGGGGCAAAGGTTGGCTCCAGCTCTTGCGGTGGCGTTCATGTCGAAGGTCGAAAAACCTGTGCTTGAACGTAGGCCAGTTCTCCGTGGTTTACCAATGGAGCAAACGTTAGCACCAGCTCTCGCGATGGCGTTCATATCGAGGGTCGAAAAATCTGTGCTATACCAGTTCTCTATTGTCGGTACATCGACGATTGTTTTGTTATATGTTCCACCCAGGCCGAGATGGACACCTGCTTCGAATTACTGAATCGGCAATTTGAACATATAAAGTTCACGCGCGAGAAGCCGACAGAGAACTGGCTGGCTTTCCTAAACGTGCAGGTTCAATTATCGCGGGGTACTTACAGAACCAGATGGTATCGAAAGCCTAGCAACAAGAATATCATCGTCCACTACAGTTCTGCCCATCCCTCTTAACACCAAAAAGGCCATTCTTAAGAACATGTTCCGAACTGCTTCATCAGTTTCATCCAAAGAAATGCAGGACTGAGTCAATAGTTGTGGCTCACCGTATTGCGCAGAAGCAGAATGACTACGATCGCAATCGTGGGCAGCTGGCACAAAAAGGACGGCGAGCTAGGGTAGATGACGGGCAAGACAGAGAACAGGAGAAGATACCATTCTGTGTTCCTTTCATTTCAGATCAAATGAGCTCCGCTATCCGCACTTGCCTCCGCAAAGCAAATCTCCAGGACGATGTGAGGGTGGTCGATATTCCTCCCCCAAACTTGAAGAAACAGCTGGTCCGCAATCGACTTTATGACCGACTTTGCCAAACACCTTCTTGTGCAATTTGTCCTTTCGGAAAGGAAGGTGATTGCATGATCTCGGGTGTGGTTTACCTCATTACGTGTAAAGTATGCGGGGAGGAATATGTGGGGGAGACAGGCAGACCACTATGCGTTAGGATTAAGGAACACCTAGGTGGTCTGAAAAAATCAAAGCTGTCCACCCCTCTCGGTGAACATAAGGCTAAGTATCCACGGGGATGTGGTTGGAGAAGTGGGCGTTACCGTATAGACAGGCGAACAGGAAATCTCAGCGCGTAGAACGCTCGAAGCACTGTGGATTGCAGCAAGAGAGCCTAAGATCAACAGGAAAGAAGAGTGCGTAGCGATAACGAGAGAGCTGGCACCTTTCGTAGAGCTCTGCGGGTTTTGATCTACGCGGTCAATCCCCCGCGGCGGCGCGGGGGTCGGGGGTTGAGGCTCGGACCTTGAAAATCGATACTGAGGGCGAGGCGCAGCGATCAGCGGGGACTCTCACCTTTGGGTGGCCTTACAACAGTATTGACCTACGCCATCAATTATGTTGGGGGGGTCCCTTACGGCGCTTTGACCCGGTCCAATTAAATTCAAAACCTCCCCTAAAGCAGTTTGACCCTAATTATTGCGTTTCAAATACATATAAAAGCCTCACTGCCAGATCCTTAAGCTCAGGGTGCCGACTAAAAACGACATCTCCTCAAAAGGTTAGCGCCTGTTCACGATATTTTCACAGACTGCTTGGCCTTGAGTTCTTCACGCAATCTGAAATGGGATTAGGGGGATTTCAAAAATAGGTTTCAATCTGCAGGCTATGAAGAAGGCAATACTGCCGAAACGTCAGTCTGGTAAAGGATTTGTAACAATCTCGGATTGCTGAATAAAGATTCTGTGATTATTCTCCGATCAAAACTCTTATGAA